TTCTTTTAAAATTCCCCCCCCCCCCCCATCCCATGTGTATTTTATGCTTTATTTTCATACTTCCCTTTACCGGATGTCTGAAGGCCAGTCACATGAATTGCAGAGTCTTCTCCACTGCTGGGCAGTCTGTATGTTAGTGTAGGGCATCATGGTGACCCCACCTCAAGGGCCATATCATTCTGCACTCACAGGATGTCCTCAGTCTTTCAGGTCGAATGATGAAGGGAGGAGGACTGGTTTAAAAGAGGTGTGGGGGGGGGGGGGTTTTGCCCCATACAATGTTGTTTTAACACCTCTCTCTGGGCAGGTTAATAATACTTCCTAGACTCCAATTATCCTAATGCAATCAACACCTGGTTGTGATTAACAGATTATGTGGATTGGAGCACCATACTTATCTCCAGAGAATTTTTGTACAAGTCATTCTGAATTGAGAAAGCTGGTTGGATGACCAGTAAAACATCTTCAAGAAAAAGTTGCCTTGACTTATTTTTTTACAGACATAGTTGTAGTTCACCACTTACGGGTACATGCCCTAAACTTCAGATAAGCATGTAAGGTGAAAAGAAAGGATCTTACAGGGACTTGACCATTTGGAAACAAATCTGATTTCCTTGTGTTCGCAAAGCTTTACATTTACATCATTATTTCTTCGTTTTGGTCCTCAACGTGAAACATTACAATTCCATTATATCAACTGTGTTCAGAGCAAGACATTGTAATCAGAATCTTGTTAAAACAAATGTTCGTGCCGCTTTCATTTAGCAGTTGTGTTGAGACACCGGCCAAAACAATGCTTCATTGACTTTTCATTTGTTTTGCAGATCATGAGAAGAATTCAGAACAGCTCATCTTCCATCTCTGACGCACCACATTAGGAGACGGAAGCCATTGTGTCTCCATCCCTACACACTTGGGAATGATGCTGAATAATAACTTGAGCATAGCAGAGAATGTCACCGAGATCCACTCCGCAAGCTTAGGCCTGGTTCTTGGGACCATATCATTTTTTACAGTCATCATGAACATTTTAGTGTTGTACGCCGTAAAAACAGAACGCAAACTTCATACGGTTGGAAATCTGTACATTGTCAGCTTGTCTATTGCAGATCTCATTGTAGGCGTGGCTGTTATGCCACTTAACATTGTGTATCTCATCAATCACGAGTGGATACTTGGAACACCTGTATGTCTCTTTTGGTTGTCTATGGACTACGTTGCTAGCACAGCCTCCATCTTCAGCCTTTTTATTCTGTGTATTGATCGTTATCGTTCAATCCAGCAGCCTCTGCAATACTTAAAGTATCGTACAAAGACCCGAGCCTCTGTAATGATATCAGGGGCATGGCTTTTGTCCTTGGCTTGGGTTATCCCAATTTTGGGCTGGCACGTCTTTGCAAACGGTGGAGTTCGATCAGTACCAGAATATATGTGCGAAACAGAGTTTCACAAAGTGACTTGGTTTAAAGTTCTTACAGCCATATTTAATTTTTACATTCCATCTTTGCTAATGTTGTGGTTTTATGCAAAGATTTACAAAGCTGTAAGGGAACACTACCAACATCGACAGCTGATTAATGGATCCTTCCAGCTGTTTTATGGCAGTAAATTTGTTAGGAATGTGAAGGTTCTCAAAAAATCAAAAGATCGTGTTAAACGGCAGTGTCCAAATGGAAATCTAATGGTTCCTGAGACAAACTTTCACAGTCATTACAGCACAGTTTCAAATGTCTTTACACAGCAAAAAACCTCTCGAGAACATTTCCAAATAGAAGACTATGAAGGCCAACAGGGATACAATACATGTGACAATAAAGTTGTTAAGTTGCACTGTTTTCCTCTTGCTATAATACAGGCCCACCCAGAAGAGTGCCGAAACTATGTTACAGTCAACAGAAAAAATCTGAAAGACCAGTGTCTGGATAACCTGGATGTGACAGACATGTCTGAAGACCATACATTTGCCGAGGCGGCTTCTTGTATCCTTGAGACAAGTCAAGTGGAAGTCAACAACACAGAGACTGTTGAGGGATCTGAAACCCAAGTCTCTGGGAACCTTAACTATCTGAAACATACTTGGCAGAGGTTCCGCACACATTCCAAGCAAAACTTCCAAGGACTTCATATAATTAGGGAAAGAAAAGCCGCTAAGCAATTGGGTTTCATTATGGCAGCATTTATGTTGTGTTGGATCCCATACTTTGTTCTTTTTATGGTCATCGCATTTTGCCAAGACTGCTTTAACCACAATTTTCACATGTTTACCATTTGGCTGGGTTACATCAATTCAACACTGAACCCGCTGATCTACCCCCTGTGTAATGAGAATTTCAAAAAGACATTTAAAAAGATATTTAATGTTCAGTTAAACTGTGTTGTTTGCAAAAAGGAAAAGTTTACAATGTGCAGCTATAAATGAACTTGATGATACTTGATGAAAATTACAGGATTTTAGTCTTATCATTCAGTGTTTTACAGGGGATTTTCAGGAAAAGAAACGGAAATCCCCTTCAAATAGGTATTAATGTCCAGCAGCTATCTGTCCCAACTTACATATCAACCAATCAGACTAGCAGAACCAACTGCAGCACACTTGGAGCTCTTGTAGCTGGTAGGCTGGTTTTAGCTAATAATGCCAACAAAGGACACACCTCAGAAATCAATGGATTTTAAATGGTCAAACAAGTCAGATTACTTGTTGGTGTCAACCGCTTCAGGGATCTTGGAGGGTGTTTCAATAATGATGGGAACCAAGACAATTGGGCATCACTCCCCCAATGAAGGTGTTTTCACTTTTCTTCTTACAGTGGAAAGCATATTTCAACACTGGAACACTGTTTTACTCACTGTTTTATGTTTACTGTAAAAACCTTAATATTGTCTTTGGACAATGCTTAAAGTTGATATGGGCTACTTGCAGTGAGTTATTGTTGAGCACCTAAAAAAGTCAGTATCCGACGTAACCCATAACATCAAATAAGTATTACTAAGAAAAACTTACCAGATTTGTAATATATTTCACTGAAAAACAATCTTTTCTCTTTAGTATTCTGTGAAATTTGACCAGCTTGTAGGGTTTATGCTTATAGGTGTGTAGGCATTGACTTCAATTTGGACAATTTCTCCCTTGCCCTACCTTGCTACCATCAGTAGAGATCATTTGCAGATATCCTTCATGACCATTATGTAAAGAGGCACAATTGTACTCATAATGCATGACATCAACACTTAAAGGATTATTGAAAGCACCGGTCGCCAACTGGTAGTCCCTGAGAAAATTTTGGTGGTCCCCGGGCCCCTCGAATGCAGTGCAGGCTGGGCCGTCATTGAAGCAGCACGGAGACTCCGGGGCTGCCTCTCAATGACTCAAGCAGCGGCTGTCACAAGGAATGAGCCGCTCTCAGTACAGTGCGGGCACTGCAGGAGGCGGGGCATCTTCTCAGTATCTGGACTGAGCAGGCCGCGGGACATAGAAAAAGTGGGGAGAAGCCAGGTAATAGTGGCTCAGTGTGGGGGAAGGGGAGGCACGGGGGTGGTTGGGGGCAGTGCTGAAGCTAGGGGGGCATGTGCCCCAGGCGCCGCTGGCAGGACCAGTGGCAGATTCGATAGGGGGGGAAACAATTATTCTTATTACTGGGCCGGGGCGGGTGGCACCGGTCCCTCCCTCCACCAGCACTGCCACTCCTGCAGGCACACCCGCACCTATATATGTATGTATGTATGTACGTATGTATGTGTATATATACTGTATGTATATATAGACATATTCTCATATTTTTTGTGTTCTCATATATAAATATATTCTCATATGTGTGTGTGTGTATGTGTATATATACATATATATATATATACATACATATACACACACACAAATATGAGAATATATATATATTGTTAAAAAAATAATATTAGTGGTCCGCGGTATTTAAAATTATGAATTTAGTGGTCCATGAGGTCCGAAAAGGTTGGCGACCACTGCTTTAAAGTGTATGCCTAGGGGGGGGGGGAAAAAAGTTTAGTACATCTCTGCAATACATGCGCATTTCTCCTTTTTTCCCAAGTACCGAAAAATAACTGTTGATCCTGCCAGAAATCCAGTGAGCTCCAAACTCCCTGCTGTAGATTGACAACACTGCCTATTCTGCACTGAAATCCCAACAGTGTTGTCAGCGCTAAATTCTCCACTGCTGGACTAAATAACACAACACCCTCTCCTCATCTCTTTAACATAAGGGAGAACTGTTCTGTAGTCCATTAGGGAAGAACTCATGGCTTTAAACAGAACTCCAGGTAACATTTTTATTAACCCCTGCATTGGGGCTAAGTGCTGTATCTAGGTTAAAATAATAAACGTATACTCACCCAATCCTGTGAATCAGCTTACTCTTAAACTGGTCCCTTCCGCCATGCTCCCCCTCTGCTGCAGCCGCCTGAGGTCCCTGAGGCATCATGTACTATACATAGAAGAGGTGCACCAAATTGGAAATTTTAAAACCGAAACGAAACCGATATGAAAAAAAATGTCAGGACGATACCGAAAATGTTTTAAATTTTTTCAAATTTTTCAAATATTTTATTTTTATTTATTTTTTATAAACGTTTTAATTTTTTTACTTTACTTTTAGGGGCTTCTGGGAAATATTAGGGGTCTAAACAATCAGTATATACGAGGGTGAGTCATAAATTATCCGCACTCTGGCTGTAGAATAATCAACTTTTAGAAAAAACAAATACATTATTTTTCGACATAATCTCCTTGCTTTTGATTACACTTTGTCCATCTGTCAACAAGCTTTTGTATTCCCTCATTAAAAATGTTTTAGGCTGAGCTGTGAGCCACAAATGCACCATTGTCTTCACTTCTTCATCAGAGGTGAATCTTCGTCCTCGTAGGGCTGCTTTCAGGGGACCAACAGGTGAAAGTCCGATGGAGCAAGATTAGGACATAGGGAAGGTGCTTTAATACCTCAAAATGAAGCCTTTGCAGAGTGTCAACAGTGTGGGCAGAGGTGTGCGGACGTGCATTGTCATGCAAGATCACAACGCCCTTGCATAGCAGTCCTCTGTGTTTAATCCAAAGTTTAGGCTTCAGCTCTTGAATGAGCATCTCAGAAAGCACTCTCAGACTACAAAAAAAGAATCACTGCATGCTGCTTAAGGATAGTGTAGTGGGTGCATGTGGCTGTATGTTTGTCTGTAGCAGTCTCTATGTTTATTTTGTTTAAACTTTTCCTGTAACTAAGTTTGTGCACGCAGCATTTGTGCCTAGTAAAGTACTATAAATGCTTCTGGATAAGTTTCCTTGAGCTTTACTGCAACAACCAAGACAACAAATAGAAATTACAATTTTGCCAAGCATTACATTCGGGCTCATCCTTGGGATAAGTTTTACATTTTGGGGGCTGGTCTTTGGGATTTGTTCTCTGAAAGCAAAACATTTGGCTGGTCCTGAAGCAAAACAAGCATCAATTTTTTCTCGCACCGCAGTTACAAATGAACTGACATAACACATTCACACCTGCACAGCAGTGACTGGGGAGACAGTAGCCTTGAACGGAAAGCGCTGATAAGACAGTGCGGCCAACAGAAATTTTAATATAACTGGAGCGTGGATAATTTGTGCCTCACCCTCGTATATATTGCACCTCTTTAATAAATAAGACTTTCCCCGTTTATATTGGAGTGCCGGTGTCCCTGCTTCTACTGATACATGACGGTTGCCATTCGTTGATTAACGTTGCACCCATCCGATCATTTTGGAGTTAAGCGGTAAGGAGTGCGATGGGTTCATGGACTTTGTTCACCCTCGTATATAGCACAGTGTAGACAGTGAATTAGAGACATCCAGCATATCACAAAATTATAGCAATTTTACCATGCAACATAGAGACATCCTGAAGACCCCCTGGCAGGTTGAGGGGGGGGGATGAATAATGTTTTAGGGAGACAATCCTCTTTATCAAGTAGAGTCTCACACAGTCAAGGGTTGGACTTGACTTGATAAAGGAAATTGTCTTCCTGAATCTTTGTTCTCTCTGTATTTGCAACAAGAGACAAAACAAGAGGAAATAGGCATATATTACAGAGATGCACTGAATGTTTTTTGAGGTTTTTTTTGTCCAGGCATACACTTTAGCAAAGTAACAAAAAGATGATTTGCAAAAAGAAATTTCCTATGACAATTAATTAAAATTAAAACATGACTACTTGAAATTAATTGGTTGTTTTCACACTCTGCACTGAGCCTTGCTTTAATGTCAAATAACATAAATAGAAATAAAGAACAAGCTACAAAATATTTAAGAATATGTTTGATAAATAATATAAAACTTGTTTCAAGATGTACAAATAGTTTTACAAAGCATGTTCTAAATGTATGGTAATTTTATTTTGTTTTTGTTAATATTTTGCACGACCAGGAATGATACCACATTGGTATAGCTGCTATACCAGGCGAGCATAATCCCCTTTACGTGCACCTGGGCCCGGACTATGGACATTAAAATATATAAAAAATCTTAAGAAGCAGTAAAATATTTTTTTTTAAAGTCCTCCCTGACCTCTTTGGGTGCTTGTACTATTAAGTAATTCATCCTCAAAGATCCCGGAAGATCACAACAAAGACTGTAAAGTCCAGGTTTAGTCAGTTTCCTGTAGAAACATCTGCCGTGTGTTTACATCAGAAGGTTGTCGAAAAGCCAAAATTCTGCTTCTATAGAAAACAAAGGGAGAGAATCTATGATTGTAGTGCCTCTGTTGGAAAGACTGAATATACATTTCACCACAGTGGCTATAGCTACAGAGGTTAGTGAGGACTTATTTTAAAAGTGACTTTACTGCTTGTTCAAAATAGGTAAATAAATTAATATGCATAGTCTGGTGACAGGGGTAGAATCCTATTGTATTGACCTGCATAGTCAAAACACAGGTTGCTTTAAGGGTATATAAGATATCCACTAACAATTGTTTGCATATAAAATGGCCACAAAACACTGCCACAAAACAATTTTTTTGTAGCTCCAATCAACCAATAATTATCTATGACTGAGCCAGTAATGCTATTCAGCAAACACTGCAACTATGCTAAATTCATTCAGTTTACTTTCAACTGAATTCTCTGCAATCCATAGCGGCTATAGCAATCCACAGCAGCCATATTTCAGAGAGCTCTATACATGTGGGATGGGTAATAGCTGTAAGGGGCAATCCACTCAACCTTGTTCAACTGTCTTTATATGATCAAGGAATCTGCAGTGGGCCTCTTATGGAACATCTCTTCTGCATTACAAACTGGTATGCAAAATTGTATTCCAGATCAACATATTACCAACAACGGGGAACGGGGTAGGCTGAATCTATTGAGCCGTTTCTGGATAAATAGAAACTTAAAAGAGAACTATGGGGTAAGTGTTTTTCCCC